TACATTCAGTCCCTCGTTTCATTTCATGCCTGTTCTCTCTCTTCGTCTTGCCGTGCATCACTGTGAAAAGCCTAGCTCCATCTTTTTGAGGACAGACCTCCCTGTAGGTACTGGAAGACTGCTATTGAGTCTGCTTGAAGTGCTCTCTTCTCTAGACTCAAAAAGCCCACTTTCCTTAGCTTCTCCTCACAGAACAAGTGCTCCAGCTCTTGGCCATCCTGGTGGTTCTCTGCTGAAAAATAGTTTATCCATGTCTTTCCCATACTGGAGGGCGAAAGCTGGGTGCAGTACTCTAGGTGTGGTCTAACAAGTACTAAGGGGAACAATCACTTCCCTTAATCTCCTGGCTGTGCTCCTGCTTATACAGCCCAGTAATGTGTCATCTTTGCTGTCAGGACACACTGTTGACTAATGTTCTGCTTGCTCTCTACCAAAATCTGTACACCCTTTCAGTAAAACTGCTCCTCAGCCAGTCAGTCCCTAGCCTGGATCACTGCAAGTGCAAGTGCAAGTCCTTCTCAGGTGCACAACTTTGCATTTGTCTTGCTGAACTTTATAATGTTCCTGCTGGCTGGCTCCAGCCCTGCCTAGGTATCTCTGAATGGCAGCCCTTCCCTTGACTGTATCAAAACTGTCCCCCTGCCCCAACTGGTGAGTTGGTGTCATTGCAAACTGCATGAGTAAGCAGTCCATTGCTTTCTTCGGGTCACTGACAAACATGTTAAATGGGACAGGTCCCAACAGAGAGACCCTTCGGCACTCCCCTTGTCACCAGCCTCCTGGTGGAAAACAATCCATTAACTACTACCCCTGAGCTGGATTATCCAGCCATCTTTAATCCATTTGTTCACAGAGTCACAGAGTCACAGAATCACAGGGGTTGGAAGGGACCTCTGGAGATCATCTAGTCCAACCCCCCTGCTAGAGCAGGATCACCTAGAGCAGGTTGCACAGTATCGCATCCAGGCGGGTTTTATGAAGAAGGAGAAGGAGACTCCACAACCTCCCTGTGCAGCCTGTCGCAGTGCTCAGTCACCCTCACAGTGAAGAAGCTTTTCCTCATGTTCAGATGGAACTTCCTGTGTTCCAGTTTGTGCCTGCTGCCCCTTGCCCTGTCGCTTGGCACCACTGAAAAGAGTCTGGCCCCATGCTCTAGACATCCACCCTTTAGATATTTATAAGTATTGAGGAGATCCCCTCTCAGTCTTCTCCAGCTAAACAGACCCCACTCTCTCAGCCTTTCCTC